ACGAAACGGAACTCCATTCCTTCAGGGTATATTGCGATTTATGTACTGTTGAGTTAGATCATTATCTTTTCTAACTTTGAATTGGATTCAAAATAGCAAAGAAAAGATGTAGGATAAGTTTTAACGATACATCACGAGCTGAGTTTTATGCTCCTCTGCTCTGTTTATCTCAGTTTTTGCAACGCGATTCTCGATAAAACTCGCGGAAAACACATCTTTACTAAAATTGCTTTTGTTTTCTTTTATAAATGCACGAATCGAATTACGAAAAGCAACAATTTTCCAACGGAGTTTACTAGAAAAAATACTTCACATCAGCATCAAATGTTTACGGATTCTAAATATTACTAAACGTAAATATTAATCAAAGCAGCTGGAAAATTTTGCTTCCATCGCTTCTAGCTTTGTATCCGGATTTTAAAAATATTAATAAAAAATGTCTTCACGAACAATAATGTAATTTTAAGTGATTTGTCTGTAAACATTATAATCAAATTTTAAATTATTCGCTACAGAATATGAATTTAAAGCATACTTTAAAAAAATAAAATAAAATAAAATTACGAAGAGAGGAAAAATTCGAAAAGTATAACTTCAATAGAAAAACATTATAGCAAATATAAGAAAGAGATGCATTTACCTGTCAATTTTGCTTTGCTTAATCGTAGTATCTCGGTTTGTTGCTCGTAAAATTTCCTTATCCGTGTTGAATGTTTATATCAAACTCGGAGGGAAGCGTTGAATATAATTTTTGTTGCCCATAAACACTCGCTCTTGGAGATATTTATGAGAAACAGCATAGACTTACTTCAATACATAAACGCAATAACTTCATTGCGAGACATTTGATATTTTTTCTCAAATAAATGAAAAGCTTTATAATATCATTTTTTCCCAAAGAAAATACGTATTTCGATTTTTTTTTATATCTAACTTTCTCAAATAGATACGTTGACAATAAATCAACGTTACGTATATATTTTATTGGGCTCGCTTACGGACGAATCGTATCCGAGTTACGAGTTTAACTATTAAGAAATTACTTTAAAAAAATTGCATTCGAGCCAAATTATTCGCATGATATTGATAAATATAACGTTCAACTGATATTAAAATTATAGTTTTTGTTTTATGATTCATGACAAGTGTTTTCGATATTATGTATTTCTCGTTCTTTACTTTATATTATTACTGTAGAAGTCTATATCTTCCTCTGAAGAAACTGATATAATTGCAAAAAAATAAAAAGAACAAAACTAATAATGGGTATAGGAAAGAATATTACAAGAATGGCAGATATTGACTGTTGTACATTCGGCAGATGTGCCTGGTTGTGTGTTAAGTATTCTCCACTTAAGACAAGTGGATGAGGACAATCGCCACGACTCACTAAAGCTACTTTTTACGACGTGGATGGCGAAAGTTTCTCGTCTCCATTTTACGACCTCCAGTCCTAAGTAACTGCTGATTTCGAGATGAGAGAACTTCGACAACATCCACAACCAGCATTTGTGTTTTCTCTCGTCTATGCAGATGCTTTACGTTTGTATGGCAAATACAGTACCCAGATGGGTTAAAGTTGTATGATGTATGTAATTTAGCCAAGTTTCTCGTTGTAAAAAGCCTTCAAATTCCTATGAAATACACAACTGTATCGATATTTCCTCTGTAAAGTTACTAGATGGATATAATTTTTATTTATACAATATTTCGTGTAACTTTACATTTCTTTTTCTTTTCTTAAAAAAAGCAAAATATAAATTTTTAAAAATTAACATGTCAAATGTTTTTACGAAAGATTTTTTCCAACTTTTAAACAAATTTATCAAAAATGCATTATTGAAATTTTAAAAAAATTTAAAAATAGATTTTTCCTTATCTCAATAAAATTTTCATTAGATGTATTTTTATTAAATTTTCTGTACTATTCTTTTTAATAAACAAAACGAAAATCTATATCAAAAATAATATAGTTACTGGATAATGTATTAAGAAATAATAAATGAATCTTTATTTATTTTGAAATATTAATGGATAAATTTTCGAAAAATGTTGTATGAAGTATGAAACATTTAAGAGGAAAGTTTGAGATTGATAATTGTATTTTTTTAATATTGACTGGCTACTAAAAAATACATTGAGTGTTGGATGATTTCTAAGTCTTGTAACGTCTCGTACAATAGAAGAAGAATAAGAGGTGTTTTATTATAATGATGCAAATATTTAAGTCAACCAAACTATTTTCATTAAGATCTATCGATGAAAGATTATTTACGAAGCTTCCTTATTGATTAATACAATAGTTGCTCTTTTGGTATTATTACCAATGTTGGATGAACGCCAATTCTATAGCCAGGAATTCGGTTTCTTGACTAAGTCAATTCTATTGATACTGTCCTAGATTCGAAATGTTTTCTTCTGGTTAATAAAAGTGATGAACATTAACCGACAATAAAAAATTCCACAGACAAAAATTTAAGTAATATTCAAAATTAAAATACTTCTTTGCATTAACGAATAACTTTTCTGATATGTAAAACTGTGCCTCTAAAAGTTAACAAAATGTTTAAACATTTCTTAAATAATTTAATCTTTTTAGAAACGTATACAGATTTTGATCTTATAAAAATATATATTTGATTTTTATTCACTTTTTTTAAATAAAAAATACTTATACTTGAATAATAAATAATATAGACCAATATTCAGTAATAAGTTATAAATTGCGTGTATATTATCGTGATATATAAATAATTTGTATTATAGTGTATATAAATTTGTAAGACGTTCAAAACACGTTCAAAACAAATTAAATTATGATTCCTCTTTATGAATCGTTACAGCGTGGCACAAAAATCAGTTAACCATTGTAAAAATCAAATTTATATCTTTTTCAAACACTTTACTGCTTAAAAACTTGACAAAAATAGTCCAAAAATAAGATAATCCTCGTTTAATATACAAATTACAACTCTTTGAGTTTTTTTTAAAGTTCTTTGATAGCCTGTTTAAACAATTCAAAATTTAGCCGACTGCACGGTTAACTGACTTTTGGTCAGCATGTACATCTAAAAATTTGCGAATAATTTGAAGTCTAAGCTAACATTGTTCCTTGTGTGACGTGTTGATTGACGTAACGTGTTGATTTAAGATATTCGAACAAGGCCTAAGCGATATTCAATAATCTAGGATCCTTTTGTGCAATTTTTGATTAATATGATCGAGAAATGAAAGAAATTACATTGCTACCGAAGTTGATTTAGATCTATAGATTATTCTTGTTTATTCAATTATGCATCGATAAACTTTATCTGTACTACGGAACTGATTATTATAAAAGGTTTCTCTTACATGAATGCAATCTATACGTATACTTTTGTTTGTTTTCCTATTTTATTAAACCTAATATATAAATAGTTTCAAGATTTATTTACACAGTTCGCTGGCATGTTATATACGAAATCTATTTTTATAATGTAATTTTTCTTAAATAATGGTAACCGAGTTTTGAATAAGGAAAATTGTTAATAGAAATTACCTGCTTATAGTATAAATCTTAATGTATAAACGTGTTCATTCAAAGAAAAATAACAAATTCAGATTAAAAAATCTAATTGAAAATCCAACATTGAGTTCTCAATATTGGATTGAGTTGAGATCACTTCTTATCTGGGACTAAATATATATTTCTTCTATTAGATTTTACTTTCTTGCTTTGGTAAACAAGTTTATATTTAAGAATTACATTCTATTTATATTTTTGTTTACTGAAATTACTTAATTATTCAACAAGCCTAAGAAACAAAGGTTCAATTATAAAGTCTTTAATGATTGCGATACAAGCAATGAAGCAATTGTTACATTAATTTGTAAAGAAATCTACTGAAAATAATTTTTATATTGTTTAATTTTATCAGGATTTCATGTATATTTATCTATATAATGTTTAAAAGATATTCTTCATATACTCATCAATCAGAATATTTTGCATTTGATAATATTATATATTATATTTGATTGATTGAAGTATGATGATAAATAGTCAAATATTTAATTAATGATCGAATAATTTAAGCGTATGAATAGAAGATTTCAAAATTTTATTTATGAATTAAGTAATAAAATTTTTACATTAGATTGTCTTGATGTGATTTTGTAAAAATATCAACTTCTGCAATATATTTTCTTGCTTTTACATGTATTTGCTATTTGTTGGAAATATCATATTCCTTATATTATATTCACTTAATATTCTTTTATATTCCTTATATTCACCTTTTTAAAGAAGATTAAATGAAAACATAAGTGTTGTTGGTCTATTGGTAGCTAGCATTATCGAATCGGTTTGTATGTTTACAATAAAGAACTGATTACAATATTGGAAGGAATGTCACATCTTGTTAGTTAAACGCATTCGATGCTTCATTTTCGTCAATAATTCCAACGCTAACAGAATACATTTTGCAAATGGGAATCATGTAATTCATTGCATACATTAATGATCAATATTTCACTCCAGTTATTCATTACTGTTCTTGTTATAATTCACATTTTCGTAACTTCCTTAATGCCCCATTTATTTAATGTCTTTCCAGTAAAATACTTGTTTTATTTCAACAGTTAATCTGTAAAGAAAATTAAAATTATAATGATATTTGTGTTGTATATATTAATATAAATTCATATATACACATGTATATACCAGTGTGTTTACAAAATTATTTAAAAAAAGTTATCTTTATTACTAGGTAATTGCCTGAATTATATAAAAAAAACTGATGAATCTTATTAACGTTCTTCTGGTTTTTTTAATCAATCATTTTGTTTCTCATTTCTTAGAATTTGTTTTTATTCTAGAAAATTACAAAATCATTCACTTTTGAAACTGCTTTAGAGATTTTTTTTTCTTTCTGATTTTTTTAATCTTAACTGAATAGAAAGTAAGTAGTTTAAATGAATGATTGGATGAATGTAATTGGAATTCTCATTTTTCCATCCAGATGAACCGTCCAATACAAGTGAAACCTGCCGACAGTGAGAACAGAGGAGGTAAGAAATACTTTGTCAAATATAAAATTTCTTATTTTACAATATTGTTATTATTATATTTTTTTCCTAGTTAAGAATAACAAATTCTTTGCTTTCTAAGAATCAACATTCGAAACTTCTTTAGACGTTGCCCAGTCCATAAATTAATTTTATGCATCCGTCTTTTTTTAAGAGCGGAACGTCTCTCCCATAATCGTTAATGTGAAAATTAATTGAACAGATCAACCATAAATTATATACATCAGAAAATTTCGCGACTTCAACCTAATAACGAATGACTAATGAAAACCATGAACATTTAGGTTCTATTAATAAATATAATACTTTTTTCTAATTAGACAAAGGGGAAGAAGAAGGAAAAAAAAAACTTAGTTTTTGAAGTTTAAGTAATAACGGGATCATTTAGTACTACCAAATGCAGATTCGATTTGCAATTTATGTAGATATATACTCGCTACTAACGATGGCAGGATTTTCATAATAATGAGTGCTGGCAATGTAACCTGAATTTGAACGTGGTCGGGTTACTTAGGTTTTCAGTAATTATTTCTAGGAAAAGTGTGTCTATGTGCTGTAATTAAATTATAAAGTTACGGACTGAGCTACGTGGCATATATATGTACAGAAAACAAACCCATCGATCAAACGACTAGTCAATAATCCTTCCCCTTTCTGCTTAACAAGAGTTGAATGTTATGTCCGTGTGGCAGAGTGAACCTCAACGTGTCTGCATGAGCATCGCTACTGTCTGCTTAATTACCAAAATGTAACTGGTAATTATGTGACGTACATGTTCTGACTGGTGGATTTGTCTCTATACAGCTAAAGGGCAGGGCAAAACACCGAAATTTTGCGATTCTCACAAAAATCTATTGGTCTGTACGTTTATTTTCCAACCGAAACGATTTTATTAGTTAGTTTGAGTGTAATAATGATTTTTCACTTATTTAATTGACAGTTTCAAAGCTTAGATTCTTATCTGAAACACGCATATATAGTCTACTTAATTAACGCATTTGGGAGAGCGAAAGACCTAATATCATTAACGTGAATGTCTATCGCGCGAGTTTGTTCATATTTAAATTATCTTTAAATTTTGACGTTAAATTATTATTATAAAGTTTCATTTTGTAATTTCAAATTCCATTTTATAAGCGCGTATTATTATTATATTTTTTAAAAATAAAAAGTAATATAATTTTTAAACAATTTCTATAAATTATGCATCGCCCGTGATGATAATCGCATTGAAGAAGTATGCAACACGTTACAAATAAAAAAAAGAAACTTAAATTGTGAAATAATACGAACGTTTACTCCAAGTTTATAAAGATAGACATTTAAAAGCTTCAACCATATCGAAATGAGTGTAAGAAGATGAGAATTCGCGTAATAATCTAACAGCATTCGAGAAAAGAATAAAATAAAAATAAATAAAACCGTTATGCAAATGATACAATTTTAAAAATAAAACGTTGGCAATTTCAGTAAGTTTGGTCTCGTTTCTCATGTTAAAAAGTGAAAAGAAATTGAAAAGTCTGAATCGTTCTTAAACGAAACATTGAACAACCAGCTTAACCCCAAAAATACGAAAGAGGTAAAGGAGAAATGCGTTGGAGTATTTGCTTATCTCGTCTCATTTGCATAATCCAGAAACGAGTCTGCTCCGTAACGTATTGGCTTGGCTCGTCACGGAAAGTAATCGCCCACCATTTGCATGTTTCGTAAATTTTGTTTGCATCAAACCTTTCCTAAATTGCTCCCGGAGCGAGTGGAGACGTGATGCACATTCCGAACTTTTCTCTTATAACTCGGAAGGGGCAAAAACTCCCGAAAGATCTAAGATTTCCTAGTCATACCATTTCCATCCCAACTATCGCTGCCAGACCAGTAATAATCGCAATATATATATAT